ATCTGACCCAGGCACCGCAGGCGAGAGGTCTCGGGCCAGCCAACGTGCAGGGCGTGGAGCCTGAGAGAGCGGTTGAGGGTACGGAGAGTTCGGGCTTTGAACTCAACATCGCTCGGGCTCAGCCTCCGTGTGGTGTGAGGAATACCGACCCCGAAAGAACGAGAACTGTTGAATAAGCGGAGATGTATGTAATGGTCTCTGATGGACACGGCTACAATGGATTCGAGGTCTTGCTAGCCAATTGTGCGAAGTCATATTATTCAATAGAGGCCTAGATACTTACCAATATTTTCCCTGGGCTCCTTATCAGCATACTAGGATATACACCAAAGCCCGAGAATTATTATTGAAATAAGGCCGCTACATAGTCTGCGCACCGAGGTTGGCTTTCACACATTTCATCGTATGCAGTGCTGCAACGTAGCCTCAAATTTCTAAACTATGTTCTGAAAACAGAAGACGGAAGTCCAGTTAGAGAATAACGAAACATTTAAAGCAAAACCTGCACGACTTGAAGCATAGGTGTAGCTCTTCCCAGAAGAACGCCTCACAGTCCTGCCCGAGACTCCCAATACATGGTCTAAGCTGCTTGGTATTGTTTGATCCTGACGGGCTGCGGGGGCTAGAATGTGGACCCGCAACCCGAAACAGCCTCAAACAGCCACCTCTTGAAACAACCTCGCGTACCGAGGCAAAAGAGGCCCTCCAGAAGGCAACCTCACCGAAAGGCTGCGGGTTCTTTGCAGCCCCTCCCCAAAACAGGGATACGTAGGGCTTAGGGTTTATTGTTGTGCTTTGTCACTGGTTTTGCGGAAGGGCCTTTGAGATGCAAGATGTCGGCTTCAGACTTCACCGAGCTTACTTCTCGATCCTGCTGTCCCTAAATCATGGTAGGGATGGGGCCATGATTTAGAGGAGAATATTTCCTATATATATATTTATTTATTTATTTATGTATTTATTCATTATTTATTTATTTGTTTATGTATGTATTTATTTATTTGTTTGTGTATATATATATATAGGAATCCTTAGGCTGTCAGGTTACTGACGGGTCATTGGAGTCTATCTCTTTCAGAATTCTAGGGGTCAGCTCGAAGCCGTTCAGGGGAACAGACCGACGACACCACGAAGAGGGCGTTGCAGCCGCGGCCTTGTCTCTGGGATTTTTACGAGATTCCACATGGGTTTAAGGGCTTGGGGCTCTTCTCTATTATTCGGTACTAGTAGAGATTCCAGCATTTGTCTTCGGCTTCTATTTCGCGTCTTCCAATTATCTTCGGTATGCTGCTTGAGGGAAGGTTCTGCAAGCAGGGCACCAGGATGGCAAGGCCAGCGCAGCAGGTCGTCGAAATGGCCGTATAAACTTGCGTTCCACCAGCTGCAGCTACCCTTCCTCCCAGTTCATGGACCCTATGACTCCCCGAACAGGGTCTAGTTTCAGGCTTGAAATTTAGAAAAGCTCTCGTTCTTTTGGCACTCGCCGGGACTCTGGCCTTGCTGTGCTGGTTTTCCCGCCCGGAGCCCGGATCACCACAGGGCACCGAGACTCTGAACCAAAAAAGGGCGTCACTGCTATTTTTATCCGCTGCATTGAGGTTGGATCCCAAACACACCGAGAGCGGCTCCTGAGGCCTCTTGGGGTCGGTGTAGGGACACGCTTGGGGCCCCTTCGGCTTTAAGCCTAGGGATGTTTAGGAAGTTCGGGGTTCTCTTAAAGAGCCTTGCGGAAGTTTGGGGTTCTCTTCGGGCTTTTGCGCTTTGGGGTTTCAGGCCTGAGGGCTTGAGTTTTCAGAGTCACTAGGGCGTTCAGCTCTTTGGTTTTGGCATTTTGGAGAGTCGTTGTATCCCCCACAGCCCAGAGTTCAGGGTTACCAAGGTCTGTCAGAGAAGCTTCATGCCGGGGGTGAAAGTGTGCGATGCAGTTTCTTTTCACCCTTCGAGAGATTGCAAGACATCATGCATGCTTCAGGCTGGGCTGGCTGTAACTGAACTGCGAGACGGGGCCGTAAGCAGATCACAAGAGAAGCCACAAGCTCGCGACGAAGAACGCCCCAAAATCCAATCAGCTGAGCCCAGGGGTGAGTCGACCTACACGACGGCCTCCAGCAACATGCACATGAACGACCATTTCATTGAAGATCAGCCGAGTCCTCGGCTGTTCTTCCTGTCGTGGTGGGGCTTGGTCCTTCGGTGCTTGGGTTTTTACACCATGAGCTGTAAATTAATATGTGCTAGGTGTTCCTTGGTTCTAGGCCCCGGCGACGGTTCTGTGCTACTGCTGTTCTCATTCCCGGGAAGCTGCACTCGAGCTTTCTATCGAAAGGAGCCCCGAATCGTATGGCATCTTCGGACTCGGCCACAGACAGACCGTGCTCTGAAGCTTGCTCCTACCATCTACGTCGTACGAGCCGCAGTGCTTGAACAGAAACCCTGGCAATGCAAGGCCCGAAGCCAAAAAAAGAGACCTCGATGCAGCGCCTTCCTGTACATGCCGAGGCCGCAGATCCTTCAATTCGGCATGCATGGCGCTGAGGAACCTTCCAGGGCTGAATGAGGGTATTAGGGTTTGAGGTTTAAGGCGGTTTAAGGTTTATGTTTGGGGTCCAGGAAAACAACTCGAACAAGTCCCTGCAGGGCTTCAAGGTTCAACCCTAAACGTTTTAATCGCCAAAGCCCGACGCCAGGGAACCTCCCACGAGTTGGGCAACCACCACGGTTGAGGGTTGCTAGAAGGGTTCCATAAGGGTTACTACAAGGGTGCTGCAGTGGTTCTACGAGTTTTGTAGAAGCGTCCTTTATGGGTTTGCTGAGACTTTACATCCAGCTTGCGCCCCGACAGTCCGAGTCGAAAACGGCTTGAAATTTGTAAGCTTGTGATAGTCATCTCGATGCCTATGCATTCACTAAGCCGATCTCCTAGAATCCTTAGCCTTAGACCATTAACTTTTGCACTCTGTGAAAAAAGAAGCCTAAATAAGTACCCGTATTGTTCCTTATAGGGTTCCATATGAGAATTATACGATAAAGGAGCCCAAACTAAACCTTAAACCCTAATTATTAACTCACCTACACTAACTTCGGGGACCTGATGGAACGAATTTGCTTCGGGCGGATTTCAGCTCAATGCGAGCTGGGCCGTACGGATTTGGGGTTTTGGGGGGTTTGGGGTTTAGATTGTATTTAGGGTTTAGGGTTTCGAGTTCCCTAGGACCAGGATGAGATGCCCTTGGCTTCACACCCAAATGGACCTACGGTCTACGGTGGTAAGGCCGATATGAGTCGTCGTCACTGTACGAAGCATCGAACCGTGAACCCTGAACCGCTAAAGCTTCATAGACCAACACCCCGCGCTCGGCAAGCCAAGCTTCTAAAACGATGAACGGTTTCAAGCCAAAAGCACTGGACCGGAAATCGAAGCCCTTCAACACGTCAAGATTCGTCCTAGCCAGGCTGCAAGCAAATCCATAAAATTCAGGACCCTCCATGACATCCTCAACCCAAAAACCCTTAAGCTCTAAGTCCCAAAGCTCCACAAAGCTCTCATCCCAAGTCCCTAAAGACCGCCCCAAGAGCCGCTCCCACAAACCTGCGGAACGTTTAGGTCCCACTTGCTGCCACAGTCCACCAACACGGAGGCAGACTCTTCAGGGTTAAGTATACAGAGGCCCGAGCAAGTAGTGCGATCCTCTTGCAGTCAGCTCGCCGGTCTTTGGATTTTGGATTTATTGGCTATCTAGGGCTTGCAGGTGAAATTTCAAGGGGCTTCACTCCTTGGTGTTGGGGTTTTCAGCTATTTCCAGGATCTGGCTTCTTGTCTGCCAGTACTCATCGCTTCGACGTGATATTGTGGCTACTGCTGCTTGTCAGACACTTTCTCCGCTTCTATTCTTGAGGGTCCAGACCGTAAGGTCAACCAGTAGCTGCGATCTCCCGTCAACATGTAACATGAAGCCTGGATAACCTGGGAGCAATGTAGAAGCCCAAATGATGAGTACCAGTACCAGTACCTTATTATAACCCCAGTATAATATTCAAGTACCTGATCATAGCCCCCAATATAATGTAAATGTTATAATGTACCCCAGAGCCTTATTCCAATTGCCCAGGCCCTGCAGAAAGTAATCGTATCTCGCGGTCCAGGAGCGCGAACGGCTGCTCCGCAGGCTCGAGATGTGTGCCAAGGCGGCTGGAGGGTTTTAGGGTTTAGGGCTTAGGGTTTTAGGGTTTAGGGTTTAGGGTTGGAGCTTGGCTGAAGGGATTCAGGGCTTAGTGCATTGCAGTCCCTGCTCAAAAAAGGGTTTAGGGTTCACTCCTGTCTTTTTGGACGTCACGAGAGCCTTCAGGGTTTGGGAACCATAGAAACATCAAAAAGAGCTTGCCAGTCCCGTCGGGTTTCACCAAGCCCACCTATCGGTCCGTGGATTCTCCGAGTTGTGAGCGTGGAAACCAGAAATTTGGTTTGAAGGGTTTGCATCTAATGGTTCGGGTGTATCAAGCCCGAAGCCAAATCTCTGCCGGGAGGTTTTATGCCAGCACATCAAGCAGTCCTAAAGCCCCGACCCCAACAGAAAGCCGGAGCGCCGTGAGCGAAGTGGAGTTGCTCGATATGATACTGAAGCATATGAGATCGAAAACCCTGAGCCGTGACTACTTGCGTGGAGCCAAGTGTGACCCGAATCGCCCGCCATAATTTGAGGACTGGTCCCAAGCAGCATGATACGGCGAAAAGACTGACTGTTACACATGGTGTCTGGAACTTTTCTTAGACAGGTTCCAGACTTCTTGTGTAGATAAAACACGTCAAGTCACCAAACTGACCGCCACATCTAGATGGCTTTGGGCTCCACAGGCTTTTTGCCTAGCGTACTTCCGGCATTCTTGACAGAAGTATATATTTCAAACGAGATGCTATTGCTTACTGGCGACGTTCATGTTAGTTTGCTGATTATTCCCTTCGTGGTATCACGTCACCGTAGACAGTGTGCCAAGCATGTCAGGCACGAGAGGAGTCCACGAAGATCATGAGCATCCGCTTCGCCCAGCGGGATGCGGTGAAAAACGACCTGAAGCAAGACAGGCGGAACTCGGAGCACATGCCTAAGGGTGAAGGCTTTGAGGGTTCTACAAGGGCTCCATGAAAGTCCTGCAAGGCTTTCGGATGGATTTCGGGTTAAGACAGCTGGGCCTAGGCTTCACGGCAGCCGTTGTGGCTCGGTCAAGACATTTTTGCACATCCAGATGGGCCTACAGACACCCTATGTTATATACTCTAGTGTTCTGAAAACAGTTTTCCACAGTGAGCGACACTGACATCACCCTCTTGCAACACAACGATGCATGCACCTTCAATCCCACACAATCTCGAAGGGCGGCAAACCCTCAACTCAGACTCTTAATCAACACCAACACCCCTGAAACCCAAAGACCCGTGATGACCCTTAACCCAGAGAGCTCTCGGTGGAAGGCGCGTGTACTTGGATCGCCTGGTAGCTTCGCAGCGCGACCGCGATGAACGGTGGGCCAGGAATTCGCTATGTATGATTGACTTTGAACAGAAAAGTTTCAGGTTCTTGCACGCAGTAGGTACTCTTTACAGACGTTAAGGACCCGCAAAAAGGCAGGTAACATTTTTATATACTTGGCGCCCCAGCTAGGGGCAGGCAGTTGTTTCTTCGAGTTTTGAGGAGACTCTGGACGCTCTTGGGTCTAACTCCGCTTCAGGGTTGCAATGGTTGCAGCTTTGAGAGTCTTTGCTTCAAGGCACCTTCGAATCGCAAAGCATTAGCCGCATTAACCCTAGACCCCTAAACCCTAAACCGTCAGGATTTTGTAAAGTCCTGAGACTTGAGAAAAAGTTTTCGACTGAGCTCTCGGAGCTTGGGCAGAGCATGAGGCTGTTAGCCGAAAGCAGGGCCTAAGCGGCTCTGAACCAGAAGTCACCCATGAAAGCCTGAAGCACTCTTCGAAAGAAGTTCCGAAAGTTCTTAGCGACCCCTTCACTCTTAAGCCCCATAAAGCTCTGAGTCTCGGCCGCAGGAGGCTCCAGAAAAGCCCCTTCGCCGTAGATCTGGTGGCAGAAGATCAGCGCATTGCAGAGGCTCGGGGCCGTAGAATGAAAGAGGGGTCTGAATGATTAGAGCAGGGCAAGGGTTGCCTGTCATTTAAGCAAGTTAGAGGAAGACCAGTACTACTTATACTCAGGCAAGTAAGAGGGCCTGGTGTTTAAGTTGTTGTGAAAAATGTTCGAGAGCAATATCTAGCCACGCCAGGTTTGGCAGTCCTAACGCCACCAATAAACACAGCAGTCTTAAGACGAGAGCCTAGTTGCAGTCCACTGGCTCCATGGAAGCTCGTTGTAGGGCCCCCGTGGAAATGCAGGCGCATAGCGCAGCAAAGCCAGAGCAGCAGCAGCGACAAGCACCTTATTCGATGTGTGGGACCCTCTAAGGGGCTGAAGCCTCAACCCAATGCACCGAGTTCTTAGGACAGCCTGTGCAGGAAAACCGAGTCCGTGAGATTGTGGAGAAGCGCCGGTCACGGGCTCAATGTTCTGAGGGTTCGGGCGTCGAGGGTCCGGGTTGAGGCCTAAAGGGTTCTGAAAGGGGTTTGAGGGTTTTTGCTTCGGGGCTCAGAGGCTTCAGGAAGGGGTTTGAGAGGGGTTTGGATGATTCTGACTTTAGGGCTCAGAGGGTTCAGGCTGTCAGCTTCGATGCATGTCTTCTGATGGCGAAGGTTTTCGGTGCCCGATATATGGAGCGTTGTACCAGTCAAGCGGTTACGGGTTGTTGCTTGAGGGGTTCTGGTCCAACTTCACCTCAACATCTGAAAAACGGCGAATGTAGGAGTCGGAAGAACAGTAAAGCCGCGTTTCGTTTCGGTTCGTTTCGGTTTCTCGGATGGGTTTTGACTCGGTTTCGGTTCGCGCGGTTCAGTGCGGTTCTTCTCGCGGTTCGGTTCGGTTCGGTTCACCCATCCCTCCATCCATTCCAGACCCCCCTCCATCCAACCCTCCGTCCACCAGCCCTCCTCAACCCTCCATCCAGCCCTCAACCAACCCTCCATCCACCAGCCCCTTGTGCTCCCAACCATCCACATCCCAGTGCCCATCCAGGCATCCAGCCAACCCCTCCATCCACGCCCGCCCCCCTCCACCCCAGCCTCCATCCACCAGCCCAACCAACCCTCCATCCACCAACCCCTTGTACTCCCACCACCGCCACACCAGTCCAGCCAGCCTCCATCCACTCCATCCACACACACCAGCCCCTTGGCATCCAGCCCTCCGTCCAGCCATCCAGCCCCAGCCCCACACCCCCTCCATCCATGCCTCCATCCACCTACCTCCTCCACTCCCACCACTCGCCTCCATCCAGCCCTCCATCCAGCCTCCCAGGCCAACCAACCACCCCTCCATCCACCCATCCAGCCTCCCTCCATCCAATGCTTGTGCTCCCACCACCATCCACCACTCCGACCACTCCATCCACACCAGCACCAACCCCCCTCCTCCATCCACCCCTCCATCCTGGATGGAGGACGCTGGAGGGCAGCTTGGATGGAGGGGGGGGCGTTGGCTGGATGGAGGACGCGTGGATGGAGGGGTCTTTTTGGATGGAGGCAGGCGCTTGGATGATGGAGGATGCGTGGATGGAGGGATGGAGGGCAGGCGGCTTGGATGGAGCGGGGGTTTGGATGGCGTGTGGGTGGAGGGCAGGCGCTTGGATGGAGGGCAGGCGCCTGGATGGAGGGGGGGGTTGGATGGAGGGTGCCTGGCTGGATGGAGGAGGCGCGGATGGAGGGGTCTTTTTGGATGGAGGGCAGGCACTTGGATGGAGGGGGGAGCGCTTGTAGGGGAAGGAGGGTGCCAGCGATGGAGGGTTGGAAGGATGGGTTCGCCTGCATATGGAGGCAGGTGGATGGAAGGTGTTTGGACGGAGTTGAGGAGGAGGGGGCTGGAGGGAGGGATGGATGGAGTGGTTCTGCGNNTGTCGCGTGTCGGTTCAGCGGTTCGCGGTTTTTTGCGATTCACAGGGCTGGACGGTTCCTGGCGGTTCGGTTCCGGTTTGCGGTTCGGTTCGCGGCCTTCCTGGAAGAACCAAAATACTTGTAAAGTACTATTCCTTCGGGTTCCAAATCTAGCTAGAGTATAAAGATAACCCCCCCCCCCCCAGCACCCTATTCTAATTCTACAGAACCCCTCTATGACCGAACGTCGGGACGTGTTTGGGTACTGCAAGCTTCCACTAGGTTGCAATGTGACTGATATAGGGGCCTTAATCATTAGAATAGGGCTTTGGGGTATACTGTACTATAATTATAAGAAGGAATCCCCAACATAGTATCGGTAATTATTTAGGCCCCTATAGTTAGGGGACTCTTGGCCCGCCCTTCTTTGAAGAGAGCAGGGCCTGTAGGGCCGTCCTCGGCATGGGACGTCGAGGTGCAAGAACTTCCAGTTGTCGAAAATACCCTAAACCCTGAACCCTAAAACCTAAACCCTAAACCCCCTGAGTCATGAATCCTTTAGAGCCCCAGAACCCTAAACCCCTGGAGCCTTGCCTGCCTGGTGCGTGTGTGAGAGTCGAAACCCTAACACTCGGAGCCTCTGAAGCCATGCCTGCCTGTGCGCTGAGTCGAAACCCTAGAAACAACGCAAGTCCTGTGACACCCAGTATCCGGGGGTTCTGGGTCGCAGGCATGTCTTCCAAACAGGTGACAGAGGGCTTCGGGCTTCAGGGCACGACGGTTACGAATTCGGGGAGTAGGAGTAGGTGGCGGGGGAAAGCCCCCGACAGGAGAGGCACACCTTCTGTTTTTTCATTAGAAACCATGGCGGAGGTGAGCAGTATATGCAGGGAAGAAGCGTGGAAACATAGTCCTAGAGCCTTCAACCTTACAGCGCATTACAGCGCAAATCGCAGACGTGGGATGTCTGAGTAAATCCATCCCTTCTAACCAGGGCGAAGTCAGCGGCTGCACGCAGCCGTGAAGCACACAGCCGGTGAGGGCCCCAAGTCGCTCACCATGTGTTTCCTTTAGGGTTTGGGGTTTTTGTACGGTTTAGGGTTTGACTGGGTCCACTAGCACAAAAAACGGGTTTAGGGTTTAAGCTGTTGGTTTGTGTGCTTTGGGGGCGAACAATGAAGGGCTTTTGAACAGGCTTTGGGATCTGACAGCTTTCGCGGTTTGCTTGTTGTCTTCACGGCATAGGTTTCCAGGGCTTCATGGACTTGTGCACTCTCGACCGGTAGCGACCCGACCCCCCACCAAAGCATTGAGCCTGAGCCCACACAGTCTCGAACCACAACCCTGACCCTGAATATCCCTGAATCACATTTTAGGTTCGTCATAGCCCTGGATATACCAACTCACAGCCCGAGGGAAAAAGACCCGCAAGCACATCTCATGGCCAACAGGATTTTCAAGCGCGCAACCGTCGAGTCAGATGAGCTCGACCAGCTGAGGAAGGAGAAGAGGCACGGCTTCTATGCTTTGGGGGTGCAGTGTTTTCATGGTAGTTGTGGTGCTAGGTAGGTCTCTTTTTTTCTCTCGCTCTCGTCTCTCGTCTCTCGTCTCTCTCTCTCTCTCTCTCTCTCTCTATCCCTCTCCCTCTCCCTCTCCCTC